CGCGCCCCGCACCCCGCGTCCCCGCGCCGCGGCCCCGCCCTCCCCGCCGGTACCGCATTGCCGTACTGCAGGGCGCAGTGCACTGCGCCGCACCGTCAATAGGTGGACCCCCTCCCGGAGATAAAACCGCGGCGCCGGCGCCGCCAGTCCCTCTGCTGAGACCTCGGCTCCGGGTAAGGACGCTTTCCGCAGAGGGACCCTCCCCGGGCGGCCCTGGGGCGGAGAGGACCGCGCTGCGCCGCCGGGCCGGGCTTCGGACCGTCGCGTCCGGGCAGGTTCGGCAGGACCCCGCGGGCAGCGCCTGTTTACGCGGCGGCACCGGCTCCGGGAGCGGTGGCCCCGCCGCTGTGACCTTGGAGCCGCCCAGGTCCTGCGCCGCTGGGCAGAGTCGCCAGTGCTGGGGCGGGTGGGGGTCGGGGCGCTCTAGGGTGCCTGGCAACGCGGCCTCGGAGCGCAGAGGAGGGGTCCGGGGGGTGCGGTGGGGTGGGGGCTTCTCCACCTCGCTCCACGGTGTCCCACCCCGCGCGCCCTCATTCCGTCCTCCCGCCTCTGCCTGCCCGCCCTGGCGCTGCTTGGCTTTCCCCGTTGACCTCTGGCACTGGGAAGGGGCCCAGACCCAGGGCTGGACGGGTGGGGCATGTGCCCCCCGCCCCGCTGAGGGCATCTCCCTGGGCACTTGCTGAGGGCGGCCTGGTGGCATCCTTCCTCCTCTGGCCGACAGGGACCCCCACCTCCTGGCCCTGCTGTCGGTACCCTGCTCAGATAGGAGGAGGCCAGAGCTATTCTGGGCCCGGATCTGGGCACCACATCGCCTGTCCCCAGTGCCAGCCTGTGGGTAGGCATGGAGGAAGATGGCGCCCGCTCTCCTAGGAGGGGAGTGCTGGCCGTTGCTCCACATGGCAGCAGGGGGGGTGGGGCTGTGGGGTACAGTGTTGGTAGGGGCCAGGCAGCTCGGGGACCTGGGAGGACAGGGTGCTGGAGACCTTGCTGTGTGACTCATCCTCCACTCCTGGCTGCTCATGGGGCCTCCAGCTGCTGCTTGCTGCTGTCCGGACAGCAGCTAACCCCTCCACAGGGATGGGAGCTCCTGGGCTCGAAGGCCTGGTATTTACAGCAGGTTGACTATTTGGACTAGCCTGTTGAGCCGGGCAGCACGGGGCCTGAACTCATCCCTGGGCTTAGTCGGGCCGGGTCTAGGCTTCAGAGGGACCCAGTGTGGGGCTGGGCCTGGATCTCAAGGCAAAGGCTGTGGGCAGGTGGGTTTTCAACTGTGCCAGGTCGGTGTCCTGGCTGGGCTCCCCCTGAGCTTCCTCATCACCCATCTCCCCCATCACCGGCCCCACAGATTCCCTGCTCAGCAACCCCCCACCCCAAGCCAGAGCCCCCTTGGTGCCAGCCCCTCCCCTGCCTGGGCAGAATGGGCAAGGAGAAGACTCACATCAACATTGTGGTCATCGGCCATGTGGACTCAGGCAAGTCCACCACGACGGGCCACCTCATCTACAAATGTGGGGGCATCGACAAGAGGACCATCGAGAAGTTTGAGAAGGAGGCGGCTGAGGTGAGCCCCCCGAGCCCCAAGACTTGGCTCCCATGAGGTACCCGGGCTGGTAGTGGGGCTACCGCTTGCCTGACCCCTGGGTGTGGGGCTCAGTTTACCTCCTCCAGAACAAGGGGGGGTGCATGTCTTGGGATCCAGATGACAGATGCTGGTGGAGTGGGGGCGAGGAGGGCAATCTTTCTCTGAGGCTGTGCTTGGTGGGGGTGGTGTGGAGCTGCCAGGTTTGCCCCTGGTGGAGGAGGGGACCTCACAGCAGGGTCTGGACTCTGCCGTGGTGGGCCAGGGCTAGGAGGCCCTGGTGCTTTGTCCTCCGACCCCAGGCTGGTGCTGGAGGTGACGATGCCCTCACTTGTCCCAGGGCTGGGCCAGGGCTCATGGCTGCTATTAATAGCTGATTGATGGGCAGCACGCCTGCCAGCTCCATTTTCTGGAGCTAGGCTGGGGAGGGCTGCTCCTCCAGGGTGGTGCTCTGGGGTGGGGGTTCTGGCGACTGCCTTCCTCCTCTGTGGCCAAGACCTAGAGGTGGAAAGTGGCCATGAGCAGGGATCTGCTGTGCCCCTCTCTCTTGCCCATGGGCTCTGGGAGAAGCCCACTTGGGAGGGCCAGGTGGCCTGAGCGCAGCTGCTTCTGGATGAGGGGAGCTGTGGCCAGGGCCTGGAGCTGCAGCTGGTGTCCTGGGGGGGTTCTGCATGTGCGCCTGGGCTTGAAGCTGCACCCTGCCTTCCTAGTGGCAGCGGGAGGAGGTCGAAGGATTGAAGGGTGCTGAGGCTGGGTCCCAGCTGGGTCCTGCCTGGGTGGCCCCTCCAGCCTGGGCAGGTGCCCTGAAGGGCAGAGGCTTGTGCCTGTGAGGCTCTGGCAGGGTACTGTGCCCTGACCCAGGCTGTGGTGGTCTCCCCAGACTCCAGATCCGGGTGCTTCCAGAGAGTGGCCACCCTTGCTCTTGGGGACACCCCGCCCCTGCTTGGGTGGAGATGGGAGGAGGGGTATCTCAGGGCTATCTTGGTGCCTTCATAGAATACAGAAAGAGCTAGAAAGCCAGGCTCTGTTTGTAACCTCATTTGATTCCTTTTTTCTTTCCATCTTGAAAGAAAATAACACAGGAGTTTTTACTTGACAGCATAAAGCCCAGTGGTGTTATTGGCTTCTGACTGATAAAGGGGAGCCCTGGCTAGGGGAGGGGGGCTTAATCACATCTGGCGGCTTCCAGGCCCTCGCGCCCCCTGCTGGTGGATGTGCGCATTCACGGCCATTTAGAAACTGGTGGGAGTCCCTGGGCATTGTGTAGACAGCCTGGTAGGAGGGTCAGGGAGCCAGCACCACCGATGTTGGAGCGACTGGGCGAGAATCCAGGACCCCAGAGGGGAGCAAGGCAGCTGGAGCCCCATTCCCCACTCACTGGCTGCTCCCTCAGCCCCAGGGAAGCCCAGGGAAGCAGAATGCTGGGTGTGGGTCCTAACCCGAGCTGTGCCCCCACCCTCTAGATGGGGAAGGGCTCCTTCAAGTACGCCTGGGTGCTGGACAAGCTGAAAGCAGAGCGGGAGCGCGGCATCACCATCGACATTTCCCTCTGGAAGTTTGAGACCACAAAATACTATATCACCATCATCGATGCGCCTGGCCACAGGGACTTCATCAAGAACATGATCACTGGCACATCCCAGGTGGGCGGGGTGTGGGCACCCTCTAGGGGCATCAGGGGCCAGGGCACGGGACCCCTTGGCTTTGTCATCATGTACCCCACCCGGCCCAGACACACCCAGAGAACTGAGTTACTGTCTGACACCTCAGCCAGGTAGGGATGCCTGTGAGGAGGCTACCCAGCCACTGTCTGTCAGGGCCACCAGACAGAGGGGACAGTTGTGGACCATTAACATGGCCTGCATAGACAGATGTAGGAGCCAAGGTGGTTATGGAAAGGTGTGGGCAGAAATGCAGACGGTCAGACTGGACACTCAGACATTTCTGGGGTGTTCACACAGGCAGACAGGAGACAGACCCAGAGAGGCAGGGGTGACTTGTCCAGGGACACACAGGCTGCTGGCGGCAGAGCTGGTGTCAGAACGAGGGCTTCCTCGACTTAGGGCCTGGTGAACGAAACCCCTAACAATCCCCCGCCACTGAGGTGGACACCCCTATTCTCCATACCCCACGAAACTGCTCAGGGTCGTCCCATGAGTGGTGGGGTCTGGGCCAGGGGGGCGGCCCAGTGCTCACCGTGCCCCACCTGCTGGACAGGCGGACTGCGCGGTGCTGATCGTGGCTGCAGGTGTGGGCGAGTTTGAGGCTGGCATCTCTAAGAATGGGCAGACCCGGGAGCACGCACTGCTGGCCTACACCCTGGGGGTGAAGCAGCTCATTGTGGGTGTCAACAAGATGGACTCCACAGAGCCGGCCTACAGTGAGAAGCGCTACGATGAGATTGTCAAGGAGGTCAGCGCCTACATCAAGAAGATTGGCTACAACCCAGCCACAGTGCCCTTTGTGCCCATCTCTGGCTGGCATGGAGACAACATGTTGGAGCCCTCGCCCAATGTGAGTGCTGGCTGGGGTGAGGGGCGGGAAGGCAGGCAGGTGACCGCTCCAAGAGCTCAGGGTACTGGCCAAGGTGAGGTACAAACAGGCTGAGCTGGAAGGTCCGGGCATAGGGGTCCCAGCTTCCCTTGGTCCAGATGGGTTTGTGTAAACATTGAAGGGGGAGACACCAGCCTCCAGGGAGTGTCAGGGCCTAGTGGGAAGCCTGTCCCCAGGTCCAGAGACTCCACTGCTTCAGCTTGGCTGCCCCACAGAGCCGGTAGAGGTATGAGCCCTGTTCCTAGCCCCACGTCGTCCCTGGAGGGGCAGTGTCTGGCTGGTGTAGCCCCATGTGCCTGATCTCTCGGATCCCATGGGGAGGGGATTAATTTTCATCTCTCCTAGGCCAGTGTCCTGGCCCTGCACACTGTACAAGGTTAGCAGGACTGTGGGCCCCCCTTGGCTTCCTCCCTTGGGGTCTGGAGTGGGGCTGGGCTCTGGAAGTGTGCACACCCTGGAGTGGCCAGGACTGGCTCTCAGCTGGTCAGCTTCGAGTGTTAGACTTGGGCAGTCTGCAGCCCCAGGACTCTGACTTGTGGAGGCTCTGGGTGGAAACATTTGGCAGAACCTGGAACCATGTTCCTAGTGTCCAGCCAGAGGAGATCCCTGGCCCAAAAGCGTGGCCTCTTGGCTCTGGTCAGCTCTGCAGCTACCCAAACTGAAGAAGGCTTGGTTTAGGAACCCTGGACCAGCTGCATGGGGCCCAGAGCCTGGGTGGTCACAGCCAGGGCTGGGAAAGGCAGAGTGTTCTCCAGCCCTCCCCATCTTGCTTGGCTGAGTGTTGTTTTCCTAGGCTTGGCTATGTCCTGTGGGACACAGCAGTGGGCAAGCAGACTTTCCCTTGCCCCAGGGGAGGCCCCCAGCCGGCACTCCCGCTGCCTGGCCTGCTAGGTGCCAGGGGCCATCTGCTGACCTGGGGTATCTTGGATTCAGGGTGGGAGGACACATGGTCCCTGGGGCCCAGCCTGCTTCTCCGTGTGTGATAGGCAGGCTGCAGGGAGGCTGTGTGTGGGGACGGCTCACAGTCGGCCTCTGAAGAGGCCTGGGCAGTGGTGGCTCCTGAGCTTAGAGACAACATGGTGGCCTGCAGAGCTGCTGCGGCTAGCCAGTCACCAGACCTGACCCCTGCCCAGGCATCTGAAGGCAGCCAGGAGTCAGCTGGCTGAGGGCTGGAGCATTGGAGCAGAGTTTGGGCAAGTGGGCAGGGTTTTCTCTTTGCCTTCTCCTCTCTCATCAGACAAATCTAAATCTGTCTGAAGTCCATGGGAGGTTGGGCATGGGAGCTAGGGGGTGAGGCCAGGTCAATAGCTCAGCATCTGGAGGGGTACAGAGCAATTTGGTTGGCACAGTAGGCATCAGGAGCCTGTGCTCCCTCCTCCAGGACCCCCTTTGGGAAGGTGCTTCCTCCGAATTAGTCATCCACGGGGCCAGGGGCCTGGTTTCCTGGAGGGAGGTTGTGGGTGTTCCTGTGATCAGTCTGTGCCTTCTCTCCTGCCCAGATGCCATGGTTCAAGGGCTGGAAGGTGGAGCGCAAGGAAGGGAACGCAAGCGGCGTGTCCCTGTTAGAGGCCCTGGATACGATCCTGCCGCCCACCCGCCCCACGGACAAGCCCCTGCGTCTGCCCTTGCAGGATGTGTACAAGATAGGCGGTGAGTGGGGGTGTGGTGCTGTGGGTGCCCCACTGCTCCTCTCCCCACTCTTACCCCTTTACTGAGCCAAGCAAGAAGCCTCTTCCTGGGCTACTCCACTGTCTACAGCTCTCTCCCCATACTGCACCCTTGCTGGGGACTGTCCTTCCTCCCTGCCCCCGGCTGAGCATTCACAGTCCCTCCACCCACCCTCTCTTCCATCTGTCCACTCCTCACCCCGCCCACCCGCCTCTACCCCTCCATCTATCTGCTAGCATTTGCCAGGGTCTCCATCTCTCCAAAGAGGTGCTCAGCTCTGTGCCAGGAGCTGGTGACATGAAATGGGGCAAGGCAGGAACTCACACTTCACGTCTGGGAGGGAGGTCCAGCCTTGTGGGAGACATAGTCCCACTCCAGGGGTGAGATGAAGTAGAAACTGTAAACCAAGATGAGACCCTCGGGAGGGAGAATGATTGGGTGCTCCCGGCCAGCAGAAGGGTGCAGGGTGAGGGTGTCATGCTCACCTCAGCGTGGAGAACAGCTGCCCCCTGCAGCCTCCACTGCACTGTGATGTCACCCAAGGCGCCATCCATCACAGTGCCCTTCCACAGGCATGCGAGGGTGGAGAGCCCCGAGCCCATGGCTGGCTGTAAGCAGATCTGCAAGAAGTGCTGGGTACAGGTGCCCCTGTAGTGACAGAGACCAGCAGTGCCAGAGCAGACCCAGGCAGCCCTGTGTGGGCAAGGCTGTGGGGCCCATTGCAGGAGTGATCCCAGGGCATGGGTCCATGCCCTGCTGTGGCGCAGCAGCCTGAGGACATGGAAGAGGTCTTCAGGGAGAGGAGGGAGCCCACACTGCTCCCTCCGAGGGGTGGCTGCCCCTGGGGCAGGGACAGGACTGAATCGTCTCCCACCACTGCCCTGTCCTGATCCAGGAGTTCTTGGGCGCTCTCTTTTGCTGACTTGTTTCCCAGACTGAGTCAAGGGAGCCTCTGCTTCTGCTGGCATCTCAGGGTTTGCCCTGCCCTCTCACTCCCTCCACATGGCCCATCCCCAGCCTTGCCAGGGAAGACGGATGCCAAAGTTGGTCTTCTTCCAGGCACTCTGCCTAAATGTCTTGCCCTGCATCCCCTTCACCCTCTCCTCCACTCACAGCTCTTTTTTTGGCCCAGGCATTGGCACTGTGCCCGTGGGCCGAGTGGAGACGGGCATCCTTCGGCCGGGCATGGTGGTGACATTTGCACCAGTAAACATCACCACGGAGGTGAAGTCGGTGGAAATGCACCATGAGGCACTCAGTGAGGCCCTGCCTGGTGACAACGTTGGCTTCAATGTGAAGAACGTGTCTGTCAAGGACATCCGCCGGGGCAACGTGTGTGGGGACAGCAAGTCCGATCCGCCTCAGGAGGCTGCCCAGTTCACCTCCCAGGTTGGTGGCTTTGTTGGCATTCAGAGTCCATTCCTGCCCACAGTAGTGGTGGGGCCATGCTGGGTGAGGTTGTTGTCAGCACTTCACCTGGACTGAGGACAAATCCCTATTTCAGCATGAGGGCCCCAGGACATGAGGGGTTAAATGAGTGTCACTGTCACATTCAGGAGGAGCAGACTTTCCAGCCTGGCCTTCTCAGCCTTGTGACCTCTCCTGTGGTCCACAGCAGCTGACCGCTCACCTTTTAGGCCTCATGTCTGTCCTAAAAGAACACTTTAATTAACACTGCGCCAGACATCCCTGTCATGTTATTCCCTACATTTTCAACACGCCCTCTTCGATTGCCTCTTCACAGGACAATTTTTAAAAACAACTTTATTGAGACGCATTTGAAATGCAATAACCGAGGTCCGATTTTTGCAAGCCCACCTTAGTGTCCATGGGCAACAGCATTAGTGCTGCATCAGCACATTCAAGTAGCGCGGTGTCACTTGTTCATCGCGGGGCTTGCTGCTTGCTGAGCGATGACGTAGGGTCTAGGTCTGGAGCTGGTTCCCAGTGGCCCGAGCTTCCTCTGCTGCCAGACCCTGGGCCCTGGAGGATGTGGGAAGCAGGGCCCTGTGACTACAGCCTCCCGGCCCAGCTGGCCTCTCCCCTGGTGCCCACACTCAGACCAGACCAGCCTCACACCGCTGCGTCTCTGCCCTCAGGTCATCATCCTGAACCACCCTGGGCAGATCAGCGCTGGCTACTCTCCAGTCATTGACTGCCACACGGCCCACATTGCCTGTAAGTTTGCCGAGCTGAAGGAGAAAATTGACCGGCGTTCCGGCAAGAAGCTGGAGGACAACCCCAAGTCTCTGAAGTCTGGCGATGCAGCCATTGTGGAGATGGTTCCTGGGAAGCCCATGTGTGTGGAGAGCTTCTCGCAGTACCCGCCTCTCGGTGAGCCGGGGTGCCCCAGGGAGAACCCGGAAGAGGTGGCTGATCCAAGAGGCAGCAGAGGGCGGCTAGGACCTGGGCGGGGGTGGGGGCGGGGGCTCCTTTGCCATTGCAAACTCCTCTTGAGCTTAACTGAAGCGCTTAGCCAGGGACCCTCAGTTTCTGTGTCTCTGAGTGCGGGTGACCCTGCAGGGCAGAGCTGGGATAGCATCCCTCTGCTGATGAAGGTCCCTTGAGCGATTTACCAGCCGCCCAGAGCCAGTCTAGCGACCTCCAAAAGAAATGACCTGGCCCGCCCCCAGTGGCTAATCGCAGACAGCTGCCGTAGCGTAGGCAGGGTTGCCCGGCAACCGCGGCTGCGCCGGTAGCTAACAGGCCTTGGGTCCGGGCGGCAGGATGCTGCGAGCCCTAGTGCGCTTGCGCAGTGCATCCTGGCCTGCGGGCGGGGCTGTCGCTCACACGCCTCTCCCCGCAGGCCGCTTCGCGGTGCGCGACATGCGGCAGACGGTGGCCGTGGGCGTCATCAAGAACGTGGAGAAGAAGAGCGGCGGTGCCGGCAAGGTCACCAAGTCGGCGCAGAAGGCGCAGAAGGCGGGCAAGTGAAGCGCGGGCGCCCGCGGCGCGGCCCTCCTCGG